AGGTCAGTTAACCATATTCTCTGTAAAGTGAAGTGTAAGTATTCCATTTGTTTAATATTAAATTGAATCAGTTTGACAAATTTAAATTTGAATTTAATTGACTATGAAGGTCTATGGAGTACATCCTGGCTGTGGGGGTTTTTTAGAGGAGGAAAGGGAGGCCAGGCCTCTCCACAAAATTGATTAACAACACTAAAAGATACATATTTTTTTAACTTAAAATTTGTTATATCTAACTTTGTCTAAAATTGACATAAATGTGTACTTCTGCCGAGTAGACATTTAAAAGAAGTTTCTCTTGCTGCAAACATAACTTTACAATTCAAGACGTCGCCAAACAGATCTGTGCGTTACACATAGGTAGCACCACCAGAGAAGGTAGAATTTCTTGTGCCTGGAGGATACCGGCGGCCTAAGCTGACGCGCACCTCCCTCTTGCCATGATAACGTCCGTCAACCAATAAGAAAAGAGTAGTTTTGTTTTGTCCAGCTTTGGAGTTGGCTTGGCATGGAGGCACTCGGCGCGTCTTGCCGCCTCCTGTGAAAGTTTGATGCGGCCATAGACAGTGGGTGCTCTGTGGATGCGATAGATCCATTGTGTGGCAGACCCAGTATTTCAGTGGACACAATAAAATCTTTATTGGCAGTGCCGTTTTCGCGAAGAAGTTATTCTAAAAGAGAAATCTGTTTTTATTGGGAATGTCACCAATAACAGTTTACCGGTAAACCGAACTCCTTGTTGACATCAATTGTCTTTCAATTTCATTGATATCAACATCACATTATTGTCATGGCCATTTACTTTCATTTTCACATTATGATTCCCTGCCTGAATTTGTCTGGGCCTCCCCAAGTTTTGAACCCATCGTCCTCCACTGATATCTGGCACATAGTAAGATGTGAAGGGATACTTCTCTTTATTGCTCTGTGAAAGTGTATTGATGGTAATCGTCTACTGTTGATTGGCACGTGTTTGAGGGATGACGCTCTAACAGGCGCGGCAGCAAAACAGCAAGTTGACATTTCCATTGTATTTAATTTCTCATACTCATCTCGATGTCCCACTTTTTAACTTACCACACTTATGTACAAGGATTTAGAGGTAACAATGATATTTTTTCAATTCTTGAAAGTGTCAATTTTTGGGAACAATTAAAAAAATAAAAATAAAATAGATCAAAAAAGATTTTTAAAAAAAATGAATGGCTTCATTACATACATCAAATGAAAGAGCATCTTTCGTTCTTTAAGGTCGCAAAATATTACATTTCTGTTGCAATTACATCACGAGTTAAAAATGATTAACTTTAACGATGTGAGCATTTTATCGAAAATGTTGAAAATTGATATAATCTCGAAAAACAAAATTTGGGAAAAAAGGAAAAGCGCTTTTTTTGCTTATACTCTTCACAGAAAAGAAAGTTTACAAATCTGGGACACCAATGTCAAATTTTTCTTAAATTTGTGCGATTTTGAGTGGAATTATCCATAAACACTCACTCAAAAAAATATTCGGACACCTACGATTTTCCGACATTTTCTTTAATTTAGAAGACAAATTAATAAAATGAAATAAGACAACAAATAAGTACATCAATAACTTGTAGGGAGTTCTTTAATTTTCAAAACATCATTCAACCTCTTTGGCATACTGTCCACGAGTTTTCTAGTATACTCTGCTGAAATTTAATTCCATTTTTCATGCAGTCTCACTTTTAATTGTTTGTTGACGATGGGCTCCTTTATCACTTCACTGTCCAACTTTTGCCAAAGATTTTCAATGGGGTTGATGTCTGTGGATTGCGGGGAAGGGAGAAGAACTTTAGGACAATTGTATAAGAGCCACAGTTGAACCAATTGGGACATGTGCTTAGGATCATTCTTCTGATAAACATTAAAATTATGCCCAATGCCTAACTTCTCAGCACTTTCCTTAAGGTTGTCTTTGAGCACATTTAGATATTTGTTTGTCCATTTTATTTTCAATGAAGACACACCACTAGCTGCCATACACCCCCACACCATTATGTTCCCACCTCCGTGTTTCACTGTTGGTTGCAGATTCTTCTCTTGGTGTGTCTGCCTTTCTCCACACCAATGTTCTTCCGTCAGGTCTAAACACATTGAATATACTCTCGTCCGAAAATATTACGCGATTCCACCATTAAATACCATTGTTTATATGCGACTCAGCGAACTCCCGCCTCTTCCTCTTATTTATCTTATATATGAAAGGCCTTGTTCTAGCCACGCGACCATGAAATTCTGATTTCCGTAGATTCACTTTTATTGTTTCTGGATGTCCTTCCTTCCCCGGTTCTTTTCTCACTTCTGCAACAATCGTTGGTGCACTTAATTTGGGATTCTTTTTAATCTTCCTGATGACTAAGATCTCTTCTCTGCAGGAAAGTTTATGGGGACGTCTACTTTGGCGGTGAGACTTAATCCTATCTTCTTTTTTAAATCGCTTGATTATATCACATACCGAGCTTTTCTTCATATTCAGATTTTTGCACTTTCACGGCAGCTCTTGCCTCTTGCATTATGAAAGATAAATGACGCAGTTCGAAAGAGATGTTCTTTCCTTTTCGAGGCATTCTTTCAACGTTTTTCAAGGAGAGACACTAATAGACTGATTTTTGACAGCGCGACAATTGACCGTTATAACCGTCCTAGAATCAACCGTGGGAAAAGTTAATGCATCTGCTTTCGCCCATTAGTTCGTTGACAAAAAATGATACATATACGTCTGTTCGTTTGTTGTCGCCGAGTCACAGCTGCGCGTCCAGCTTGTTACCCTGGCAAGCATGGACATGGGTCGTCTCTCCTCACAGCCACTTCTTCCACTCGCTTGCAATTGTTCATTCCGCAATCCCTTCCAATTTAGCGCAATTGCCTGCGTACCTGCTCCGCGCATAGTTGTCGCCCAACCACACCATAGGTTTAGTGAGTCATTTGATAGTGTTCGCGCATATACAGGCATTATACGGAATATATTAAAACAATAGTGCTAATATCACAAGTTTATACTGCATTCGAATGTCTACAGAACGTTAATTTATAGTCGCATTTTCAGTCAAAACTTGTAAGTGTTAGTTTGGAAATTGTAACTCGAATAGTAATGACCGCATAATGTCTGAATCGGAAAAATGTCACAATCCGAATATTGACAGACGAATTGAAAACAGAATGTGAATAAACCTAATGTCTGACTTGGGAACAGAAATAAAATGGAATCGAATCAGAATTGGAATCTGAATGTCGCTCTTCGCTAATCCTAGCTATTACGATGATTCGGTTCTCCCTCTCCACGTCCTTTTGCATCGTCATCCCTTTCATTTACCCGATCACGTTCGAGGTTCTTTGCAGCGCCATATTATCTCGTTCTATTGACTCCTAGGAAATTGGGTCACAGGCCATCTCTCAAGTTATCGACGTCCTCCCTTCGTACAAGTGCGCACCTATTGCGTGAATAATTTACCGTAGAGAAAACCCAACTCTCTTTCCCACATTATCAGTCACGCTCAGGATGAAAAAAAATATTCCTAGTGTATATATATTAGTAGTAGTAGTAGTAGTGGTAGTGGTAGTGGTAGTGGAAGTGTAGGGTAGGTAGGGGTAGGGTAGGGTAGGCGTAGGGGTAGGTAGGGGTAGTGTAGGCGGTAAGGGTAGAGTAGAGGTAGAGGTAGAGGTAGAGGTAGAGGTAGAGGTAGAGGTAGAGGTAGAGGTAGAGGTAGACCCACCTACCTTTGTCCCGTCCCGTACTCCGAAAGTCCGAAAGCATCTTCACTAGCCTGGGAGGTTCTTTGTACCTTTTGGTCCCATTGTACATGGAAGTACCTTGGTCGACTTTGGAAACCAGGGATCTCGATTTTGGGCCTTTCGATCAGGGAACAACTCCCCATGTCGAACCGTGAATCAGTTATTTTAATTTTACATTTGTATTTTGAATTCGAGTTTTTGCGACAGCGTGTACTAGTGAGCCTTGTTACTCAAGTATAGCTAGCGGCTGAGTTAACTCAGGGAAATGTGTTGCTACTGCAGCGACTCTGACGAGTAGGTCCTAGGGTTTGAGTCACGACGATCGCAGATAGTTCAACACTAACTAAATAGAATTCAGTACTCGCTCGCGCTCACACACAAACGCGCGCGCACATGCACTGCACTACCACACATGTCGGAAAATTAGTCGGGCGCCTGGAGAGTGACCATAGCGATTGACACGTTCGGAAACATTAATTAATCGAGCACAGTTGCCACTATTACTGGTCTACTACACAAAGAAGGTACAAAGAAATTCGTTCTCAGTACCTCTATAAATAATTGACCTATCCTTCGGGAATAAAATACATTACCTATACATACAAGTTTTCTCTAGTATGAACCAGTAGCAAAATTCATGTTTAATAACACCGTAATCAAATCATTTATTCCACTTTCAATGCAAGGGGTAGCTGAACGATGAGTACAAATTGGTAAGAAATGCTCTACAACGGGAAAAAATCGATTGCACAAGATCCGTTGTTAAACTCTGTATAGTTACGCAATTGAAAGTACGCAGGCCCGAAAGTGGTGTATTTTTTAAAGATTCATTTGTTTTGGAAACATGATTATTCTCTACCAATATGTAGTTTCCGATGGCTAAATTAATGTTTACGGTCTTTTTCGTAACAAAATGAGCTTTGCAAGTAAGGGAACCATCGATAGTAGAATAGTTTTGCCCCGCTCTATTAGTGTAGTTTAAGAAATAACTTGTCAATTTTTCAATTGTTTTTTTAGAAAATAAAGCTATCATTAACAAGTATTCACTGCAAAGCTAACTTAATATGATCTTTCGCTGTGAAGATATAATTTGAATGTAATCGTTATAGAAACTGTGTTTTGTGATAAGTGTATTCAAAGGAGAAATTGCAGTATAAATTATTAAGTAATATATTATTTCCTTGTAATTCATGTGTATGTTGAGCAAAATATTAATATGAAGTTATTTTACTTTTCAGAAAAGTGTGGGAAAGATTCATTGAAATCTGCAATGATAATAAAAGCTTTTTTGGTATGACATGGTCTTCTCTGAGAAGCCAGTTGGATGGAGTGGAACTGAAGAAATCATATGTATTAAATCCTTTGGCGCCAGAATTTATTCCACGCCAGTATCAGCTTGAATCATATATTCATTTACCTTCACAGTTTCCAGTGGATTGCAATACAAGTGTCGTGCCATTCGCACAGTCTCCTCAAGGGGAGGTACCATTAGCATTTCAACAAGGATCTGAACCTCCTATTTCTTCCTGTATATCTCATCCGACACATATTCCCAGACCAACCCATATCCCCCCTCCACCAGCTCTGCATTTAGCACCTAATTTCCCCACTACCAATGCTGCTCCTGTGATTTTTTACACTGGGTCTTCTGTTCCCCCTGTCCACCCACCTCTACCCATGTCGGGGCCAAATTCTAATTTTTATCCTTTGAAAACTGCATTGGGTACACTTAGCATAGTTAACTCTCCTCCAATTTTATATAACAGTGTTGTGCCTTCTTCTCTAACTCCTTTGAACACTTGGGGAAATCATCTGATTTCTCCTTCTATTCTTCGAGGAAATCCACAGTGGGGACAGACTATGCATGGTGATTTCTTGAAAAAACCAGGACAAACTGCACCACAGATTGCTACAGTTTTTCCATTACCATATTATGAAGAAGCACAAAGAGGTGGTTTAAATTCACCTTCAAGAACAAATGGTCTTCCTAATATGAATGGGCACCTTGGTCCTCCTCAAAGCTTTTTGTCAACTTCTCAAAACTCAGTAGCTGACTGCTATATACCAGGCGGTGTAATGTCTCCAGCAGTTTTGTCTCAGTGTTCTCCATCCAGTGATACAGTGTGTACATCAACTAATGGAGTTGCAGATAAAGTAGAACAAATACAGTTTCTCCATAATGTGCATTTTCCCGAGAAACTGGTCCATGTCAAAGAAAAGAGGCACAAGGTAAGATCTTAAAATATCGATTTTTTAAATATATAAAGGTCTATTAAGTCTGAACTCTTCCGGGTATTTTTGCCCTGTATTATGATTCGTGGAACTTATTCTACAACTCGTAAAGCATGCACTCATGAACTGATGCATTTCAAAGCACTTTATTTAGGAGTGGGAAAATTGTAACATAATTATTTGCAGCCTCCCGGAATCATGGTAAAGGTAATATGTCATTCTGCACAAATTACTATTTGGCGTAGTCCACAATAAGTGTTATCACACTGGTCCATCACTACGAGTGCCTGTTGATATCCAATGATTGCTTATTTCCTGTGAAAATAGTGATGGAAATTGAATCGTGTAAATCCGCATGTAATGTTAAATTGTACTAAGCACTTATATCCAGAGGAGTAAAATATATCTTTAAGAAAGGGAATTTCGATATTCTCAAAGATATCGAAATGATAAGTAACTCACAAAATACCCGGTGTTATCCGGGCTTTCTTCATATCCAATCCTTGTGAAAGAGGAAAAAGATAAATTTGATGAGAATCACAATAGTTTCAGATAATAATTTTTAATGTAATTGGTTCAAATTTTAATTAAATACTATATTTTTTCATTTTATTTTATAGTAGCTATCAGATATAATGTTTATTTTACGCACTTCTTCTTGCCTCTAGCGAATCTATTAGGTACCAGTTCTGCCGCCCCGCTACTGGCCTCACGCGGAGTATATTAGGAATCAATTTGCCCTTATACGGCCAAGAAATAATTCCACTCAGTATTTATTTTTTCGGTCTCGTTTATACATTCTAATTTTTCTACTGATATATTTTTAAATATCGATTATTACTTTAAAGTTAATGTATTTTGTAACTTTACTTGGCAACTGTCTAACATTTAAAACACTTCCATGTTCATCTTTACGTAGTGTTTAGAAGACTCGCAGTTGCCGATTGAATTAAGTTGTAAATTTTCGTTAGGTTAGATTTGTTATTCAGGTAAGAATTATTTTTCATAAAGTCATACTAAACTGTGGATCGTTGACGTTTACAAAACGATTTATTGGCATCGTCAGATCTTGTAACTGCAAGAATTAACGTAAAGTTAAAAACAAATGGTTTCAGTAGTCGCGGAAAAGGGTCTTGGTACTCACACCCAGAAAAAATAACGAATTGCTACATTGATTCGGCATAGTATGTGAACACAAATCGCATATTCGGAAGTAGTTTCTCGGTCATCAGTTCAAAATATCTGGGACGACAAGCAGGCGGGTCCACACCTGTAATGATGAAAAAAGTTAAATTTTGCCGAAAATAAGTACCAGTAATTGGACCGAAGAAAACTAGATCGTGCTAAGAAACCATAAACGACGACAAAAAGTTAAAAATATTATCAGACATTAATAGACTCAGACAAGTCATCAATCCAGACCTCGCAATACAAGACAATCCATTCGATTCACTCAATAACCATGACTGAATAATGGAAGGAGAAAAACTTCGTCTGTTCGGTATGATTTGATTAGTTATTAGCCTCTAAGGCACAACAAGGCAGGACCTTTTCTAGATTATCATGCTGCGAAATTCTGTACGGGTAGCAACATATCGCGCCGTATTCTAACATATGTCGCACTAATGACATATATGCTAATTCTTTAGCTTTGACGGTACTCCTCAGAATCCTTTTAACAAAATGTAAAGATCTCCAGGCTTCCCCCACAACGAAATGTACTTGATTTTTGCAGCTCAGTTAACTTTCGAGTTGTATTCCTAAGTATTTAGAAGACGTAGCTCGAGGTATAAAATTCCTTTGCGTGTCGGTGGACGCCGCTCCCTCCATTATTTTTTCCCTTGGTTGAGAGAACGACACCTCCCAGCACTGGGGATATTGACCTTGTCCCGTACCAATCGGACTATCTGGCCGGAGATTCCTAGAGCAGCGACTGTGGCGGCGGACTCTCCGCCCATAGGCATGGCAGCAAATTCGCATTGCCGTTCAACCAACTCGGTGCGCAAATACTTAAAACATGAGCCCTGTGAAACTTCTCTTACTTATTCTGCTAAGGTTGCTCTACATAACCGAAGTTGATTGCGCAGCGAAGCGCCTTGTTGCAGGCTCGCAGGCAGCTCAGGGTTTCGTCCTTTCTCCGCTACTGTTCTCGCTGTATGTCAATGTCATCCCACATATTGTAACACCTCCCGGCGTAGGGAAACGCGCGGTTAGCGACCGGTCTAGCTCAGGTCGGTTCTAACTCCCTTACTCATATAAAACTAGCCAATTGTAACAATTTCCTGAAACATAAGATTAGTGATGGAAGGCATTGTAAGCTAAAGCATGCATGGGCATTCATAAAAAACAATTTGATTACTGGTAAAAGACAACGTTTATTCCTGGTCAGGGCTGTACCAGGAAGTTACATCGATGAAAAGAAAAATTGTGAATAAAATAAAATAAAAATTAGAAATTAAGAAGAACTTACAACTAAAGAAGAGTGGTACATAAATTATTTCTATAGCTACAATTACAAATTTGTCCCTTGAGATCTTTCTGTGCCTCAGCGCGGCACCGCTTTAACAATAGTCTCTAGGGCTTATTGACCCTGATTACGTTTGCCTGGAAACCCTCCGTGGCAAAATGTGCTCAGTAGGCCCGTGCGGGCGCGACGGGCCTTGTGGGCGGCCGGGGTGTCCTTTCCATGAATGCGGTCGGGGCGCACCCTCACCAGCAAGGGCGTCCGGCGCGCTGGCGGCGGCTGCGGCGGTCAGTGACGTCAGCGAAAGGGCGTCTGGAGGCTGCTTCGGCGGAGTATAGATGGCCGGGTGTATTGGCCCTCGATTACAAAGTGCGGAGCACACAAAAATTGTCTCCCGAAGCGTCTGCGGTTCCTCTCGAACAAATTTCAGCGAATGCCGAATTTTTGTAGCTAATAAGCAGTGGCAAAGGATTCGCCTATTCCCCCGTAAGTGCCTTTGCACTTCCTCTCTATAAAAAACTTCAAGTGAATGCCAGTCCTAGAGGTGCACCCACTCTCTCCGCGACCGGCTCCACCCCAGAGAAGTCTCTCTCTCCTAATGTTCATTTTTATTTCTCCTACACGCACGAGGTTAACTCTTATCCCCACCCTTTCTCCTCATATGTTCTTGCTCCCTACAAAGATCGCTTCGCTATTGGCTAAAGTGATGGCGTTTGTACTCTAAATTTGGCCAATAGGGCTCCGGCGGAGTATAGAATTTTTTCGTTCTCTGTTTCGAAAGTATGTCACGTCTCTGAGGGGCTTCCCGGCTACTGAATTATTGCTTCGGGATTCCCCGATCACGATGAAGGCGTTTCGGAAGTATTCCAGCTGTGGGCTCCCGCTGGGCGCTTTTACAGTTTACCCCTTTGTTCGGTTATTGGGTGGGGTGTCATAAACCTTCGAAATGGGTCAGGGGACCGTGGCTGTTGCAAAAAAGGGGCTGCGCGCGTGACGCCGTATGTTTTTTCCTCAGTACAAAATTTCTTAGGTCTGCTTTACTCAATTTAATTTATCTGAATAATTGTGTACCGCTACAATATACCACGGATACGGCTTTTCCTTTACGCCGATGACTTGGCGGTCTTAGCAAGAGGAATAAACCTAGACCACAAAGTGAAAATACCTCAAAAACAGATGAACCTGACGCTGAAGTGAACGGAACAAAACCACTTGACTTTTTCAGCGGAAAAATCACAGGCAGTCTGTTACACCCGCCGCAAACACAAAACACTAAACGTTTTACACCACCCAAACAAATTACTCTTGGCACACAAAAACTGACATGGGCGCTTAAGGCAACTTATTTAGGCGTCACATTTATCGAAGGATGCGCTGGCATTTACATGTCAGGCGAATTCGATCAAAATTACAACAAAGAGTTCGACTCTTACAACATATTTTGAGGGAACCTACGCTCCCCTTAGAACTCCCCTTGGCACTCTATAAAACGTGTTGCCGGCTTGTGGCCACCTACGCTGCGGCAACGTGGTGGACCGCAGCACAGAAGTACAAGGATACACTTAAGCTGCTACAGTACGAAGTTCAAAGAACGCCCTCCGGTTCGGAGACGGTTGAAAGTACTGAGGAAGGAACTTGATAGCGATCCCTTCACTCAATGCTTGAGACGGCTTCCGTTTAATGAAGCCTATCAAGCCTTTCAAATCAACGATGCTCTGGCAACTCTAAAACAATTAGCTCGACACGTCCTCACAAGAGGGCAAATACGGCAAGCACTCCCCTCTGACATTCTAAGGGCGTAGTGCAACACGAAAGCCGATTTGGTTATTGACTAAAGTCCGACACGAACCTACACCAGCCACTTACACATAGCAGTAAAATACAAAATGCGTGCGAACTGCATCACAAATCACACTAATCTTTGGCTAAGCCAATATGTGTGTGGTGTGGGTGTGTGTGTAAGAACCTTTGTCTAATCCCTTGATGTATTTACTCCCTTCTCTTTGTATTCGGAAGATTCACACATATGGCATACTTTTTGTTACCTGTATTACTTTTCTGTTTATGCGTATTGCTCTGTCAAATGCTTTTTATAAGTCCATGAAAGGAAGGTGTTTCTAGGTTCATTTCTAAGCTTTTATCAAGAATTTATTTGATTGTGAATACTCCATCTATAGAGGATCTGAAACCATTCTGTTCTTCTAGAAGTATATGTTCGACAATTGCTTGAACTCTCTTGGTTATTATTTTCGCATATTTTGTAGCACGTATTTAACAAGATAATGTCTCTAGTTAATTAGTAAATAAGTAAATCGAAATCAATATTAATAGATAAAAGGTACCAGGGGCGTTCTGGTTCAAGATCTCGGGCGACAAAAAGCGCTTGGGTCGAAGGCCCTTGTGCTTTTTGTTGTCAGCTTTTGTTGCCGATTATTTGAACTCTTACAATGCCCTTGGCGCATGAATAACTATTGTCCATCTAATTGAGGAGGAAAATGTGATGTTTTTTTAGCTTCGCAGGACACGCATTATTTACAGTACATTATGCGCAGTACATTACATGTATGTCTTCGCAACGCAGTTCTTGCGATGCCAACGTATCTTTCCGAGATAGCAGCGTACAGCATTTTTACTCACAGCATCCGGTTTCCAGTCCAGCGTGACTGTAAAGTATTCGTACACTGAATATTGTAACAAAGAAAAACTGCATTGCCGTCAAATAATATATTTACATAACATTATCCATCACTCCAAAATAGAAAAACGAGTACAAATTAAGTTATTTGTAATAAGAAAATTATCTTCAAGAAATAATGCACAAAAAGTATTTGTACAAATACACTGCTGGGTTCTGCGAATAACTCCGCCTGTGGTCAAACTCGCTCCTGGAGCGTCATCTGGCAATGCTTCCGGTTGAGCTGCTGGCTCCTGTGCGACGGCTGGTTCCGTCGTCTGCGTTGTAGCCGGCTGAAAATCAAAATGGAAGATTATTTCTCTGCTGGGTGTTGTCCATTCTCCTTTCTACCTTTCCATCTGGTTTTCATGTCTTCGTGTCAAACCCTTTTCAGATTGTACCAAATACATTTTATAGCCGGTAGTCTTGTGAATCACTACTGCTATCCATTTCGGAAACGATTTGAATGATCCAATGTATACTTTATCATTAACTTCAACCTTCCATCCCCTATGTGTTTTGGGCGTTTGGCAGGTCCTAATAGTGCTAGTAATATCCTCGGTTGCCCTCCATGAAGTGGTTCCGCTGGACGTCTCTTTTCGGGCCCTATCGGAGTAGCTGCTGTAACGCTTTATCTTTACCTTCAGGCATTACTTTAATCGTGGTACTTTTGAACGTACGTACAAATCTCTGCCCCTCCCCGTTTCACTGAGGATGGAACGAAGCCGTCCTAAGATGCTAAATGCCATTCTCTGTGCAAAATTTTTCAATATGTGACGTGAATTGTGTCCCATTATCTGATATCAGCAGTTGTGGTAAACCTTATATTATGAAAAGCTTCGTTAAAAGTTGTATTGTTGCTTCTGTTGTTGCTGATCGCGATTCACACACATATGATTAGTCAGACTGCATCCGTTATCGCAAACCACATTGGCCCCAAGAACGACCCTGCCTAATCAAGATGTACCAGCTCCCATGGTTTTTCAGCTTTTGGCCAGCTTGAAGAGTTCTTCAGCGGGCTTACCTGGCTCTGTTTAGATATATTACAACTACGTATCAACTTTTCGATATCTTTTGACATACCCGGTTAATGCACATATCTTCTAGTAATAGTTTTGTCCTAGTAATACACCAATGTCCAAAAAGCAATGACTAAAATTTACATTATCTTCATAATTATATATTAATACTCCATCTTGCATTGATACGTCGTTTTTCTTCAACCGAAATTGATTTAGGTCTTCTGAACTATAATTTAACTTCTTTGTTGGCCAACATTTGCTCAGATAACCACTTACTAGTGTTATTAGTTTGACTTTCTTGGTTACTTGCGGTTTTGTGTTACTTTAAAAACGTAGTTGTTTTTGTTTTTTTTTCAGAACAATCGGGGCCCTTGGCTCGTGCGTTAACACGGACCTGGTTCTGTCATTAAATTCATGGTCTGTCGAATTGTAATCTGTAACGTTTCCATTATTATTCTATCTTCGTACCTTCTCTCCATTGCTAGAATCTTTGAATTCTATTTGATGGTTTATATCTAACCTGTGCTTGAAAATAGTTTTGCGTACTTGGTTTTTCTGAAATGTTTCTTTTAAGCTGATTAATTGAATCTTTCTGTTTTCTCTTAGTATGTCCCACTTATTCCAAATTACAGTATGTAGAAAGTAGACCACATTACTCCTCTCTGTCAGTTGTGTTTCGCGTGTTTCGCTAGTAATTTCTTTTTTAATACAGTGTTTCCAATTTTAACACCGTTTTCATTCCTTAACGTCTTTTTCATTTTGCTATTTAGTTTTGAAATATACGGTAAAAGTAGAAATTACCTTTCGCCTTCTTCAACATTTTCCATTTACTGCGTGGTGTTATTACCTCCTCATTGTGCCTTTTTTTTAGGGTCGCATCAACTTTTAGGGTTTAAGGTCGCATCATTTAATTAGTGCTTGTAACGGTATGGCAACTCTGAAGATGACATGATATGATAAGGGGTGAAAGGACGAACACAATACAACCATTCCCGAGGCGGGACTCGAACCCGCGATCTCCGCGACTCATTGTGCCATGCTTAGTTTCTTTAACCTGTTTCATATTGGCATATCTCTTAGAATTTTATAGAAGAGTAATTGTTTACCAAAAGGGGAAAAAAACTTTATTTTAATTTATTGTCATTGTGATTGACAGAGCCATAAAACTAAATGATCGCCAATTCCCCAACGACAATTTAAATAGTTTTTCCCGCCCGTGAGGGAAAGGGGAGCATAACCCCAAGCTCGCTTCTGATTGGCGTTAGCACTCAATAGTTTTAAGCACACAAATAGCACACAATAGTTTTAACTGCTTACCTTGTGTGGTTTCTGTGGTTAGACTACCAACGCAACGGCATGTGAGGCGAGTGGACCAATGCTTTTTGTGCCCTCATGTTCACTGAGAATTACAAATTTTAAATGTTAGGGTGGGTGGATTGGCATTTGAAAAGTTTCTTAAGTTGAATCTATCAAGTAATATATTTTTGAGACGTGAGACATTATATTTCACTATTACAGAAATAAAGCAAGAAATTAATCTAAATTAATTTCGTATATTGCAGTGTACGAAACCTTTCTACACTCACTGTAAGTAGTTTTACTTTTTTTCCTATATACCTTTTGTAATAAAAGAGCGCAATACTTTGTAGTCAATGGAAGGAGGTCAGTTTCATTCAAACTTTTGTAATCTCACAAAAATAAAGTTACGCATTTTTCTGGCCTGCGTTTGGTTGCGAGTTTTTAAAGTGAAGACTGACATGTTCGTACAATATAATACGTAATCGTGTCCAATAATACTAGAAGGTATGTGCTGTTGTAGCACCATTAGTTTTGAATGATGACGTTATTGCTTTAGACTGGGAATATGTAAATATTATAAAGCAACGTGTCATGCTTTGATATAAAAATACGTACATGTACTATGTCTCCTAAGAAATGAATCGGAAAATATAACCAGAATAAAAGGATGTTGAAATTGAAGAAGCAAGGAAGAAGTAACAGTGGGAGGGAGAGACAGGGGGGAGAAAGAAAATATGTAATATTATTATTAGAATTAAATCAATATTCCAATAGTATTATTAGTATTAGTATAAATATTAATATTGTGATCATTTTCCCTTTATTTACGAGCAGATCTAGTGATCGGTGCTTCTGCAATACTTAATATGAAATATTGGCTGTTCCCGCTTGCTCTTCAACTTCCCAGTCTTGTGAATGACGTGAAAGTTTGGATAAGTTCTTGCATATAATTTGCGGAACAAGCCCCGGATCTCCGATAACTATCCATCAGTACAGCTTGTGTTTTATGCACTACATCAAGCTGATCCCAATATCCAAACTTTTGTATCTAAGGTGTTTCTTTGCCTCCTGGGTTACGTTCTCTCCGCCTGGCACAGCAAAATCTGTGAATTAAAACTTTTTTAGTTCAAATCGCGAAAATCAATACCCAGTTTGTTTATCACTGATTATTGGTTGTATAATCTTGTCACAGTCCAAGAGACGTCACAGGTTTTGATGAATGTTTGTCCTACTTCCTCGCAGAGCATGTATTTGGAACTTCCGAGGGCGTTAAAGATCTACCAGTGGAGGTAACTACGAGTATATATCCTATAGTGCTTGTCATGTTTCCGGGACTGGAATTGGACAAGCTAAGACGACATGATCAGTTGTTTGTATTTGTTCTTGAAAATTATGATATCTATCATCCTGGAAAATGTTGAGTTCTGTATGATAATGCTGGCATTCTTTTACCTCACATCCGGCCGATCTTGATGAACAAACACTCATACTTAAGACGCATTTGTTGACTTTTTTATCTACGTCCTTCACTTCTCGTTGGAAGATAAGGAGTGCAAGTGACACATCTTATCCGAAATGGCCATTGAAACTAAATTAATGGGTATTAATCATAACTGTTCGTTTCTTTATATACGGTATGTTTTGATCTTAATTAGTGAAAATGTAAGTTCTTATTTCATTAACCATGAGTGTATGTGGACTTATTTCAGTTTCATTTGAATAATGTTTTCTCAAAACCAAAGTAATTCACTTGTGTGTTTTCGCGTCTCTGTCCTTCAATGCTCGACAATGTCAGAATTTACAGGTAAATGAATAATGTCCAGCATTCGAGTTTTTTTCTGCCATTTGAAAGTCTGCAAAGTCTAATGAATTTCCCCAAAATATTATGCCATGACAGGCGGGAATAATTATGTGCGAAATACATGGGTTGTGTTGTATTTTGACCAACTGATCAGGGTTATGAAAGTATAATTAATTTAGTATTTAGTGCCGCGAGCATTTAATTGAGTACCGACAAATGCTGATAAAATAAAATATTTTGATTGTTTGTGTAAAAGAAGTTCCCCTGATTTAAATGAATCCGTATTTTTCTGATTTCAATTTTTCCATTAAATCGGTTGTACGATGTTATTTGTCACTTTTATTTCCTCTCATAGTTATATGGAAACTAAAGGTTTCATTCGTATCCATCTTTTTGAAGTTCATTTCTGACTACAATACCTAAGGAAAACTTTTTCGTATTCGAGGTTTAATGAAAATTGTTGTAAACAGAATGTTTTCCTTTTTTGTTACTAACTTTATTGCATTGATACCTAAAATTATGAAGAGTCCACATCCCTTATTTAATTATGGATTCTTTTGTTTCAGGAAATAACTACTGTTTTGCCACCTGAAGTTTCCTTGAGCCAATTATTCAATTCGGACGCTCAGCGGGAATGGTATAACCATGTGCTTGAAACGTCTGGACTAGATACTGCAAACAAGTAAGTATGATACTTGATTGTGCGTGTTGATGTTGCACTCTAATGAAAGCATGCCGACAGGTGCGTAGCGTCAGATGGCATGTATATGCTGAGCGTAAAATGTTCGTCACGTCCCCACGTAAAATGTTCGTCAACGAGTCCTAAATATTCATTTGAGAATCTTTCAAATAGAGCAATAAGGGAAACAGGTTTTCTGTTAACTGATTTTGTGTAATTGAATTGGGCGCGCTCTTCCCAGCTGATCGCTCATAGTTGGGCTGACGACACATCCGCTGGCCGAGTGCGACGCCGAAGATCGTCCCCTCACTGCTCCTGCTCCTAAAAGTTATGCGTTTCAGACGTTGTGAAAATCCCCGGAAGCGAAGTTGAGCAAGTTGCAAATTAGATCCCGAGAGTGCAGCACGCCTGAGGTAATCAGTGTGTTTGCCTCTCGCTGTGGATTCCCTGATCGGCCAAGTGTCCACCACAGAGCACAGGTAGTAGAAGTAATACTTCCCTACTACCATAAAAATATCGACACAGTTGAATTCCCTCTTAAATATATTATATCTTAATTAATATGTTAGGATGACCTCAAATTTACGTAATGACGAGACTTGCTTTTGTTTGCGCGTTTCCGTTCTCCCAACCTGAGATTTTGGGTATGGTTAACTGAAACTGACATCTGGCGGGAAAGTGAGAATCGCTCCCAAGTGCATGTGGGGGCCCCCTCGGGGGCGCCTACTCGAAAATGGTCTCCCAGGCCCGCGCTGTGAGTAAGCGTCGAAAGAAAAAAGGAGAAAAAAAACGGTTCGATTACACAGGTTCGGATCTACGGCTAATGACCGTGACTCCGCAAAATAACATTTACGATAAATAAATGTTCGCACGTGAGAATTAGAGATGAGTTATTGTACTATTTGCTTGTAATCTGTCAGTCTTAAATGTAATTAAAAATTGGAAGTTTCTACTCCATCAAAGCTACGACCGAAAGAGAGGGCTTAGGGCATCAAATGGTGTCACCACAGTGCCTCTGACCGGGAGGTCCTAGGTTCGAGTCCCGAAGGTGGCAGGATTTTCGACACTAGCTAAATAGCTAGCTCCAATTCAGCCGCTGAGTGGCGGATAATTCTAGCGGTCGGCTACCCTAGTTGGTAGTTTTCCATAGTTTCTCCGACCAGTACCACGTAAATGTCGGAGCAGTATCCTAACAAATGGGCCACGACCCTTCTTTCCTTACCCTTCCTTGATGCACTGCTTGATTCATCGCGATCATGCGACATCCACCAGCACGACCGCGAAAGACGCGAAATGCAGTGACAATGCCACGGAAGACGGGCCTTGACGCGCCACGTTCTAAAAACCGAAGTATATTTTAGTGTAAGTACCATGCTGGTATGTGTAAGAATTTTTGTAATAAATGTGATTATTATATTGAAAAAATATATACATGACTTTTTTATTTGTAACGTGTACAATTCACAATTATGATTTTCTCGCTGAAACGTTCTGTAGAATTACTGTATGTTTTAAATTATTTTATTTTTTTAATCTTTTAAATTGAAATATCTAGATAAGGGGCGGCGAAATTTTCCTCCACCCGGAGCAGCTGACACCCCCACAACGCCACTGGTGGGGAAATACCTGATTGGAAAAACCGCCGACACGTCGGCGCTAGTTCTCATCATCCACTAGGAAGATCACCCCCACCTCCACAGGGAGAAATATACACTACACATACGGGACTAATGATTAGCTCTTGGCGCGCCCGGAATCACTAATCAATCGAAGCTACGAAACTACTTCGTTTATTGTTACCCATACCGTTATTAACAGCCGTCATTGAACGAAGTACGAGTATTCTGAAGAGGAAAAAAACTCCTGTGAGAAATTTAATGACAAACCGCATACTGTTTTGTTTTAAGCGTTTTAGCCATTAAAATACGCTTATTTATTCGTGTATAGGCTAATATAGTAAAAGACTGTATATGACCTATGAAAAGTATGAACTGCACACGTTTTCTTGATCTGCAGAATCCCTTTCCCACCTTTTTACTACACATTACAGTACATGCTATACATTAAAGTTGAATTATGAATACAGATTCTACCAATGGAGCGCAGTTGTGAACATTTGATAAGTAGAACATTTCTCGATTTATAGAAACGTCTTCGTATTTGCTGGTGAATCACTAATTTAATTTTATAGTATTGCTAACAAAATAACTCACAAGCCTCAGTCCTACTAATACAACTGTCAATGAAAGTTCAACAAAACGTGCGCGTACTAAAGATACATTTATCTCGAGCAAAACAAGGGGCCACTTCAGCATTTTCTCAAGGGATCAGGAAAACTGGACGAAAACCCTTATCTCCACCATTTCAAAAACACCTATATATGTTAGAAAAAAATTTCAGATATCGACAATTAGTACTATGGTATCTATTGCATCTAGTCTGGCTGCTAAACTACGGTTCTGCATAGTAATAGATGAAGCTTTTTCCAACCTACAGGAAAGTTGTATGATGCAAAATGGATCTTAAGTAACATCTTGTGCACTCCAAATGGTTTTTATTAATTTTAAACATGATTTAAGACATTTTTAATCAAATGTTTTAATATTAGATATTATATCATATTTTATATATTTATTACACGTTCTTATGGCTTTCATTATATATATATATATATATATATATATATATATATATATATATATATATATATATAAAATGACGTTTAATACTACATATTTTTCGGGTCTCTATACATAACTACATAGAATTTCGCATGTTTTGTCTTCATTGATCGAATACCGATTTAAAAACTAAAAAATTCAGACCAGAACACGGTTTGAAAAATTACTATCAGAAAACATCTTGATTTTGTTATATATAACAATAATTGCCGTACGAAGCCATGTTTACGTACATCATTGATTTAGATTTTAGATATTTTCTGTCAAGAAACAGTAAAAATGAATTCCAGAGTCCCTTCCCGTCATTTTAACTATAAATAGTTGAAAGATGAGTAAAAGTATAACATAAATAAATAAAAATAAATTTTAAAAATCGCAAGATTAGCAATATTTGAAAAATAGTTATTTTCGTTTCTGAGTTGTAGAAAAATTACTTGCATCGGTACACGAATTGCAAGTATGCTTTTTTTGAATTGCTAACAAAATAGCAACTCGCCCTTACCTCTACTCTTACCATTACAAGCAAAAGGAGAGTTCAACAAAACGTGCGCTTAGTGAAGCTACATTTACGACCACAAGAAAAACAAGGGGCCATCTCAGCATTTGCTCAATAGATCAGGGAAAGTAAACAACAACCTGATCGAGATGCGGGTCATTGACGCGGAAGATGAAGTACATTATTTGTTACAAACATATTAAGTCTTTTTTAAAAAAATACAAAACAAATGAAAACTAATTCATTATGTATCACTGTTTTGTTAAATAAACATTTTTTTGTTCACCATTATAGTCTCTAATTGTATAGAAACATTTATGCAGCAGAAAAGATTTTACTTTTAACTTAAATTTGTGAACCGACTTCAATTGTTTAATGTCATCTGGCACTGCATTGTAAAGTAACGTTACATGTATTGTATGTGGATTTCTGATAGTGAGCTGTTGATATTGACACTTGATGAACGTGATATTTACGACGTGTGTTGTAATTATAAATATCAGTATTGCATGATAATATGTTCCCACTGTTAAGTAAGTCCCATTTGACAAATATTACAGATTCGTAAATATATAGGCAAGGCAGTGGTAAGATTCCAAGCTCAATGAAGAGAGGCTTGCAAGGATAACGTGGATGGCATTTTTTCATTATTCGAATAATTTTCTTTTGCAATTTAAAAGTCTAAGTACTACATGATGCGTTTCCTCAGAATTTTATATCATATCTCAGGTGTGAATGGACATTTAAAAAATACATAAAATACGAGCTGCATGAAGGCTGACAGAATTTGATCGATTTCAGAATGTGTAACATAATGAACTTAATGTAGTGTTTACATTGTTGACATTCTGTGCTAGACAAGAATGTGATTGCAAATGCCTATCTCTTAGAGTTTTTACTAATAAGTTACACGAACGTTTAACATTTTGAAGCATAATACAGGAATCTGATTAAGAAAAGAATGGTTTAATAATAAATTCAACGTGAAAATGGAGGAAAATTTTAGCTTTTGTAAATCTGGAAATTATATAAATTATTTAACATTAATGTTAATAATTTAAACAAAAGTAATACCATCCCATTTTATTGTTTTTATCAAATAAACTAGTAATCGTTTTTTTAATGAAAAATATGCCTTTATTTATAGTAGTAAGCTGTAAACGTAAGATGTCATTAAGTTTTTAGAGAATACCACAACTCAAGAGCCAAGTGTAAGAAGATTTTTCATATATTTTATATTCAGAGTTCCTGAAACACTCCTTTGGATGAAATTATTTTAAATGCTTTTCACTTGCATTTTTTGAGAAACATTTGTGCAATGAATAATATATATGTATTTTTTTGTTTAGATTAATGGAAATGGTTCTCTCAGATACGGCCGAAACAATGAATCCTCCAACTCCTACTTCTCCAAGTCAGGAGTGCTTTCATCCTCATATTGTTCAAGGATTAGAAGATTTGTTTATTGACAAAAAAATGAATAGCAGTAGTCCTGTAGTAGACCATCATACAGAAACTAATATCCAGAGGCATCATGTGTTGTCACAACTTAATATTTTACAACACACCAGACAGCAGGTAATTTGTCATTATTATGTGAAACTTTTATAAATAAAAAATGACCAACAATTTTGGTAGAAATTTTTTGTAGGACTACTGCACGGTTGTTTTAATATTGTTTTCTTCTGTGTATGCTAGCTGAAGAAACCCGAATTTCCCTGGAATTTATTTATCTTAATGATGTAATAGGGAAGGAAATAATTGAATTATCTCAAAAGCGTAAAATGGAAGTAACAATTTTCATGAAGGGTGAAGATGAACGGATTGGAATCACTCACACGTAACCTAACAATTGGACCGCTCCGCTCGTACGTGCCCGCCCAGCTCCCGCTCAT